CTCACACACACTCAAAAAAACCTACAGAACAGCTCTCTAACTAGACCATAGAACTTGATTTCTGATCCCAGGGAAAATCACAGACATGTGGTCTAATCCTGGAGCACATGTTGCAGCTGCAGGGCTGGACCACCTCAGGGGCTGCTGACCCTTGCGTAAGAATGGAGTATGCCTAGATGAGTTTGAAGAGCAGGACAGTTAGCTGCTTTAGGCCAACAGAAGACTTCGAGTACCTCATCAAAAATAGGAACAATGGACAGTTTGAACACTCCAAGCCAGGTTCTAAAGCCAGCACCTAGGTCTGTGGACAGGTGAAGGTGGACAAGGACAGCCAACAGCCCTTACAAAGAAGTTCCTACCTCTGGTATAACAAAACTATAACGACTTCTCAGAACAATCCAGACCACTGAAGTAACACCTTTAGAGCCTTCTTTCCCACATCAGGGCCTCCTCCGTGAGCACGGTTATAGCAGCAACAGCCAAGAGTGGGGCATTTCCCCATACCCCTGTGCACACAGGAGGGACAAATGAAACCTGACTTCACCCTCATCTACTCTCTCCATCCTAATGGGAATCCCACATGGTTCTGACCCCCTCACCTTCAAAAAAACCATTAAAATTTTTAAATGTCTACAATGAAAGATACAGTATTATTTTTAAAGATTTATTTATTATTTTTATTGGAAAGGCAGATGTACAGAGAGGAGGAGAGAGAGAGAGAGGAAGATCTTCAATGATTCACTCCCCAAGTGGCCCCAACAGCCGGTGCTATGCCTATCCACAGCCGGGACACAGGAACATCTTCCGGGTTTCCCACACGTGGGTGCAGGGTCCCAAGGCTTTGGGCTGTCCTCGACTGCTTTCCCAGGCCACAAGCAGGGAGTTGGATGGGAAGTGGAGCTGCCGGGAGTAGAACCAGTGCCCATATGGGATCCCAGTGCATGCAAGGCAACGTCATTAGCCACTAGGCTATCGTACTGATCCCAATATAGTATTTTTTTTTAAAAAAAAACTTATATTTATTGCAAAGGCAGATTTACAGAGAGAGACAAAAATAAACATTTCGCAGGCCTGAAGCAGTAGCCAAGTGGCTAAATCGTCACCTTGCATGATAATACTGTATCATCAAGCAGTAGAAGATGGCCCAAAGACTTTGGGCCGTCCTCTATTGCTTTCCCAGGCCACAGGCAGGGAGCTGGATGGGAAGCAGACCAGCTGAGACACGAACCTGTGCCCATATGAGATACTGGCACTTGCAAGGTGAATTAGCCAATCTAGTCATCATGCCGAGTTCAAGACACAGTATTTATGAATGAATGAATAGTGATTTTTCAATTGAGAAAAAGAACCAGAGACACACATTTGATCTTACAAATAAGATGACGCCTGGGATGTCCACATCTCAGAGTACTGAAACTCAGGTCCCGACTATTCTTGATTTCAGCTTCACATTAATGTGCATTCTAAAAGGCAGCAGGTGGTGGCTCAAGTACTGAGATCCCTGCCACCCATAAGGACTCAAACTGCATCCCTAGCTTCTGGTTTTGGTCTGGCCTAGTCCAGGCTGTTTCAGGCATTTTGGAGGAAGTGATCAAGAGGATAGAATACTTTGGACTCTCAAGATAGCTGAAGGGCCCGGCACTGTAACCTAGAAGTTAAAGTCCTCACCTCGCATGTACTGGGATCCCATACAGGTGCTGGTTCTAATGCCAGCAGCCCTACGTCCCATCCAGCTACCTGTTTGTGGTCTGGGAAAGCAGTCGAGGATGGTCCAAAGCTTTGGGATCCTGCACCCATGTGGGAGACCCAGAAGAGGCTCCAGGTTCCTGGTTTCAGATCGATGCAGCTCTAGCCATTCCGGCCACTTGGAGAGTGAATTAATGGACAGAAGATCTTCCTCTCTTTCTCTCCTCCTCTCTGTATACCTGACTTTGCAATAAAAATAAGTAAATCTTAAAAAGTGTATATATATATATATATATATGTAGCTCAATAAAAATAAATTATTTTAAAAAGGAAAGGAACCAAATGAAAATTCCAGAGTTGAAGAATGCAATAACCAAAGTTCACTCTCCTGGCTCAATAACAGAGTTGAGGAGAGGAGAAAAGAATCTATGAATCTGAAGAGGCAGCAACAGAAATCATCCAAACCAAAGAATAATAGCAAAAGAATATAACTAGACACTGACAAATAATCCAGCGATTATATTAGATGTAAAAGGACCAAATATTCAACAGGTAGAGATTGAAACTAAGTTAGATAAAAAGGAAGACTGAGCTATACTCAATCTAGAAGACTCACTCTAAATACAAAGAATTACGTAAGCAGATGGAAAATGCATAATTTGCAATACTAAGTATAAGAAAGCAGGGATGAGGGTCTGGTGCCGTGGCCTAGCAGTTTAAGTCCTCGCCTTGAATGTGCCAGGATCCATATGGGTGCCAGTTCTAATCCCGGCTGCTTCACTTCCCATCCAGCTCCCTGCTTGTGGTCTGGGAAAGCAGTCGAGGACGGCCCAAAGCCTTGGGCCCCTGTACCCACATGGGAGACCTGGAGGAGGTTCCTGGCTCCTGGCTGTGGATAGGCACAGCACCGGCCGTTGCGCTCACTTGGGCAGTGAATCATCGGACGGAAGATCTTCCTCTCTCTCTCCTCCTCCTTTCTGTATATTTGACTTTGTAATATAAATAAATCTTTAAAAAAGGAAAGCTGGGGTGAATATATTAACATTTACAAACAAACTTCACGAGAGAATTACTAGAGACAAGAAAGGTCTACTCATAATGACAAAACAGGAAGACAAAACAATTGGAAATGTACATGCTCTAAAACACGTAAAGCAAAAATGACAAAGTGGAAACACCAAGTAGTAAGTAAATTGGAGACTTCGGTACTTCTAACCATAAATAAAAGAATTTGCACAAAGCACTGGCTCTGTGTTTAAGGGGATACACAATGGAAGTGTAGCAGACTGATATGTTCAGAGGCGGAGACAGAGAGCAGTGTCTCTACGCATACACAACAAGGGTGGACTCCCAGGACGACGGCTCCAGATTCCTCACAGGAGAACGCTGGACGCTCCGACACTGTCCACACCTACGCTGCCGGGAGACACTTCAATGACCCATTGTGAACTAGAGGGGAAGTCAGTGGGGAGGGGAGGGAGCTTGGCGAGGGGGTGGGAAATCCACGTGCCTATTAAACTGCATAACAAATTAAAAAAAATCAATTGAAATAAACATATTGAAAAGATAACAAAAAAATAGTACAAAGGAAAATCAACAACATACAGGACCTGAACACTATTAACCAACATGACAAATCGCCATTTAAAGAATATTCCATCTGGGACCAGTGCAATGGTTCAATGGCTAAATAGCCATCCTGGAAGCACCAGGTTCCTATATGGGTGCCAGTTCATGCCCAGGCTGCTCCACTTCCCAGCCAGCTCCCTGCCTGTGACCTGGGGAAGCAATCAAGGACATCCCAAAGCCTTAGGACCCTGCACCCGTGTGGGAGACTCAGAGAAGGCTCTAGCTTCTGGCTTTAAATTAGTTCAGCTCCAGCTGTCACGGCCATTTGGGGAGTGAACCAGTGGATGAAAAATCTTTGTCTTTCCTCTCTGTAAAGATAATCTGCCTTTACAATAAAAATAGATAAATCTTAAAAAAGACTATCCCATCCAACAGAATATACTATTTTTAAGCACACAGAAAACACGAAGATTAAATTTTATCATGGGAATAAATCAAGTCTGAATCAATACAGAGGACTGAAATCTTATGAACAGATTTAAGTACTCTCACGACTTCATCTTAAGGCTAATGACAGGATTGTTTCTTCAGTAATCATGAAGTCCAGATACCCCTTTCCTTAGGGTTCTGTCAGAACCAAAAGATCAATCAGGAAAAGTCTTTGGTATAAATCCTTCCAGCTTTTAAACCTTGGGAAATAGGATACATTTTCAATTTTTCTATATTAATATGCCTGACTTGAGATCATTATTGAGGTTGGGAGCTTTCAAGATACATGTGCCTCTGAAATATGCAACTCACAGTTCCTCAAGATGTCCAATTTCTCATCACACTGCATATTTCTGCCAAAATATGCCAATTATACAGCTTTTAAAAATAATAGTAATTTTTAAATTTATCTGAAAAAGCCACAGAGAAAGACAGAAACAGACAGTAGATTCCTACCCACTGCTTTACTCTCCAAACACTCAAACCAAACAAGTTTGGGTCAGGTGAGAGCCAGGAACCAAGAACTCAAACCTGTTCTTCCCTCAGGGCCTCACAGATGGGCACTGAACCCAGGTACTCCCCAACATGGGATGTGGGCATCTCAAACACTAGTTAAAAATGCTGGCCTCCTACTGTAATTTTGATTCTAGAATCAAATGAGTACAAATAAGTCCAAAATTAAACAACAAAAGTGTAGCTATCTGTCTGAACCTGCCTATATACAGGAATCCCTGAAGCCTCCAGGGGCTTTGAATCCACACAGATTAACAAGGACCCAGGGTGAGCACGTCTGTGCATGCAAACAGGTGCACAGTAAGATGTCCAGAAATAACGTGTGGATATGCATTGACACAGTTAAGATGATAATCTAGAACATGAGCTGACAAAAACTAGGCCCCTGGGCTCAATCTGCCTTACAGCCCATACATAAATAGGGTCGTATCAGAACACAGCCAGGGCCATTTGTTTATGTATTATCCACAGCTGTTTTCAACTTGTAACAACAGTTGAAAGTTGAACTGTGCAGTCAAAAATACTATCTGACCCTACACAGAAAAGCTTGCCTTTTTTGAGTTACAGCAAAAATGAACTTGCCTGAGGTCAAACAGGTACTAGGAAACAAATACCAAGATATGCTATACCATTTATTTTTATATGACCAAAAAAGACACAGTTGCATAAAAATGTGTAAATTAAAACAAATTAAAGTATGACTTGACAAAAGCCCACACATGAGAAAATATCTAGGTTCTTACCTGGTATTTTGGTGCATTGTTGCATTGTGGAAAACTGCCATTGACCTCCCCATTATGTAGTAGATTATTGTCCACCAGATTCCAGCCCCAGCTCTGGTCGTCACTGCCTAGCAATGCCACATAACCTTGACACTGCATGGGGGCTCGCTTGGTGGCAATTCCAATCACTGCCACGGTGCCCAAAGGGCCCTCCCACCACACTTCCCATGCGTGGCGGCCCTCACTGAAACCAATCTTGGTCCTTGCACCATCAGTGCTCTGAGCGATGGGGTTTCGATGTAAAGTGAAGCCATTCTTCTTAATATAGACATTTCTGGAGCAGTCATTAGTGCTGAAGGCATGTTGGAAAGCACGTACCTGAAAGGAGGAGAAACACACTAAAGAAACAGAAATTTGATTCTCCTTTGAAGTACCCCAAACTTCAAAATATATGCTTTGAAATCATAGTTATATTTTGTAGCTGACACTTTGGTAATAGCATGCTAAGCCTCTGCCTAAGGTGCCAGCATCCTATCTGGGCACTGGTATGCATCCTGGATGTTCCATTTGCAATCCAGCTCCTTGCTAATGGTCTGGGAAGGCAGCAGATAATGGCTCAAGTGCTTGGGGCCCTGCACCTACGTAGCAGCCCAGAGAAAGATCCTGGCTCCTTTAATCTAGTATTTTATATTAAAAGGACAAGCGATGCACTGTTTCCATATTGGTAATATTGTCATAAAAAGGTTACACTTTGTAAAGTAGAGACCTTAGGTAGCTCTAAAATTAATGATAAATTTTAGAAACCACAGACCTCCAAGGGTCTTTAACCTACCTGCTGGGAGTTACTCATATACCGAGATAGTATCAACCTCTTTTGATGAAACCAAATAATCCCCTAAACAGCATCTCCATTCAACTAGCAGGGTTTAATAAAAAGATGTTCTAAAAGAGAATGTGGAAATGGTGATTTCACCCACCTTCCTGTAGCCCTTGATCCTTATCACCATAATCAATTATGTAAAAATCATCAAAAATAAAAAGTAGAAAAAGACATTCTTTAAGAGTCACGTACAGGGCCCAGTGAAGTAGCCTAGTGGCTAAAGTCCTTGCCTTACTTGCGCTGGGTCCCATATGAGCACAGGTTCGTATCCTGGCTACTCTACTTTCCTTCCAGCTCCCTGTTTGTAACCTAGGAAAGCAATACAGGACAGTCCAAAGTTTTGGGAATCTGCACCCACGTGGGATACCTGGAAGGAGCTCCTGGCACCTGGCTTCAACTCAGCTCAGCTCAGCTCTGACCAATGCAGTCACTTGGGGAGTGAACCAGCGGATGGAAGACCTTTCTGTATCTCCTCTCTGTAAATCTGACTTCCCAATAAAAATAAATAAATATTTTAAAAAAGAGGATATGTACAACAAATGAAGTAGCCTAACATTACTTATGAGGCCTTTTTTCTTTTTTTAAGGATTTATTTTTGTTTTTTATTGAAAGGCAGATAAACATAGGAGAAACCAAAATCTTTTGTCTGTTGGTTCAATTCCCAAGTGGCTGCAACAGCCGGAGTTGGCTGATCGAAAGCCAGGAGCCAGGAACTTCTTCTGGGTCTACCATGCAAGTACAAGGGTCAAGGCCTTGGGCCATCCTCTACTGCCCTCCCAGGCCACAAGCAGGAAGCTGGACGTGAAGTGGAACAGGTAGGACACAAACCAGTGTCCATATCAGATCCTGGGGCATGCAAGGAGAGGATTTAGCCACAAGACTATCAGGCCAGGCCCAGCCTTTTTTGTTTTTAAACTTATGTAAAAGGCAGAACGAGAGTGAGAGTGAGAGAAAAAGACACATCTTGCACCTGCTGATTCACTCAACTGGCCTTAGCAGCCAGGAGCCTGGAATTCCATCCTGTTCTCCCACATGGAAGGCACTGAGACAAACTTCAGGGTCATCACCCGCTGCCTTGCCAGAAGCATCAACAGGAAGCTGGATAGGCAGCGGAGTAGCATGCACCGTTCTCCATGCAGCACGCCAACATGAAAAATCAGCTTCTTTGTATAAATAATCTCTCATGTTTTAACAATCTGAAACTTTTGGTTTGTGTATTTTGTTTAAAATACTTCCTTCATTTTATTAAAATTGCTCAAAAATCTTGAGCAATTTGCTGGGAACTACTGCTTAGGTTAATCCAGAAACAATCCCAGTCAACAGGCAGCAAGCATTATAAAGAGTCTTAGAGGTCAGCTAGTTCAGTTCCTGAAAGCGGACAGCTCCTGAGGTAGAGGAGGCCCTAAGAAAATAACACCCTTGGGGGCCTAGCGGCTAAAGTCTTTGCTTTGAACGCCCTAGGATCCCATAAGGGCGCCGGTTCTAATCCCAGCTGCTCCACTTCCCATCCAGCTCCCTGCTTGTGGCCTGGAAAAACAGTCAAGGAAGGCCCAAAGCCTTGGGACCCTGCACCCACGTGGGAGATCCAGAAGAGGTTCCTGGTTCCCGGTTTCGGATTGCCCCATAGCACCCGCCGTTGCGCTCACTTGGGGAGTGAATCATCGGATGGAAGATCTTCCTCCCTGTCTCTCCTCCTCTCTGTATATCTGACTTTCCAATAAATAAATAAATCTTTAAAAAAAAAAATCAACATTTTTCTGAAAGAGAGAAGTGGCAAAACAGAGAGCCTCCATCCACTGGTTCACTCCCTAGACGGCCATAAAGGCAGGGGCTGGGGCCTAGGTCAGGGCCAGGATGCAGACAGGAGCTTCATCCAGGAAATCCACACAGGGCAGGGACCCAAGCATACTTGAGCCATCTTGTGCTTCTTTCTCAAGTTGATAGCAGGGAGCTGGATGAAAGTGAAGCAGCTAGGACTCAAACCGGCACCCACACAGAATGTCAGTACCTTCCTAGGCAGTGCTTTACCCACTATACCAACACCAGGCCCCACTCTTCTTAAAAAAACAAAATAAGAGACCAGTGCAGTGGCACTGTAGACTAATCCTCTGCCTGAGGCACAGGCATTCCCTATGGGCTCTAGTTCATGTTCTCAATACTCCCCTTCCGATCCAGCTTCCTGCTTACAACTTAGGAAAGCAGTGGAGGGTGGCTTGCACCCTTGAGCCTTTGAGTCCACACAGGATACCTGAAAGAGGATCCTGGCTCCTGACTACAGACTGGCTCGGCTCTGACCAATGCAGCCATTTGGGAAGCGAACCAAGAGATGGAAGATCACTCTCTTCCTCTCTAAAAATCTGCCTTACACATAAAAATAAGTAAATCTTTAAAAAAAAAAAAAGAATTAAACAAAAAAACCCTCAAACCTGTGGCTTCAAATAGCTCCTAATTTTACAAAGAAATGATAAATCTGAAATGTTCTTACACTTTTTCTTATCTGGACCCAGCAGCATGACAGCTCAAAGGCTAAATTCCCACTGTGCAAGCACCATGTGCATGCCAGGTTGTGTCCCAGGTGCTCCACTTCCCATCCGGCCCCCTGGGAAAGTGGATGATGGCACAAAGCCTTGGGACCCTGCAGCTGCATAGGAGACCCAGAATAATCTCTTGGCTCCTGGCTTCAGATCAGCTAAACTCTGGCCATTGGAGCCTTTTGGGGAGTAAACTAGCAGACGGAAGATCTTCCTCCCTGACTCTTTCTCAATGTAAATCTGCTCTGCATTTCCAATAAAAATAAATTTTTTAAAAATATTTTTTATTTTCATTGAAAAGTCAGATATACAGAGAGGAGAGATAAAGATCTTCTGTTCAATGATTCACTCTCCAAGCGGTCACAACAGCCAGAGCTGCGCTGATCTGAAACCAGGAGCCTGGAGCTTCTTCCAGGTCTCCCACACAGGTGCAGGGTCCCAAGGCCTTGGGCCTTCCTCTAATGCCTTCCTATGCCACAAGCAGGGAGCTGGATGGGAAGCAAGGTTGCCAGGATTAGAACCACTGCCCACATGGGGTCCCAATGTGTACAGGGCAAGGACTTTAGCTGCTAGGCTACCACGCTGGGTACCAATAAAAATAATTTTTTAAAGATTTATTTATTTATTTATTTTTATTACAAAGTCAGATATACAGAGAGGAGGAGAGACAAAGAGGAAGATCTTCCATCCAATGATTCACTCCCCAAGTGAGTGCAACGGCCGGTGCTGCACCAATTCAAAGCAGGGAACCAGGAACCTCTTCCGGGTCTCCCACGCGGGTGCCAAGGGTCCCAAGGCTTTGGGCTGTCCTTGACTGTTTTTCCAGGCCACAGGCAGGGAGCTGGATGGGAAGTGGAGCAGCCGAGATTAGAACTGGTGCCCATATGGGATTCCGCTGATTTCAAGGCGAGGACTTTAGCCACTAGACCATGCTGCCAGGCCCTAAAAATCAATTTTTTTTAAAAAAATATTTTTTCTGGGTCTGGCATGGCAGCCTGGTAGCTAAATTCCATGCCTTGCATGAGCCAGGATCCCATATGGACACCAGTTTGTATTCCGGCCGTTCTGCTTTGCTTCCTGCTCCCTGCTGTGGCTTGGGAAAGCAGTCGAAGATGGTCCAAAGCCTTGGGACCTTGCACTTGTGTGGAAGACCCAGAAGAAGCTCCTGGCTTCTGGCTTCTGGCTTCAGATCAGATCAGCTCAGCTCCGGTCGTAGCAGCCACTAGGGGAGTGAACCAGTGGATGAAAGATCTCTCTGTATCTCCTCTCTGTAAATCTGCATTTCCAATAAAATAAATAAAAGAAATCATGGTGTTAAAAAATATATTTTTTTCCCTGTCTGTGTCTATTATAACATGTTTTTAAGCACTTAAAAGTTCAAAATGAGTAATGGAGGAAAAGTAACCAAAACAGTATTAACTAAAATGCTCAAGACTATTAATCAGTGTGGGCTGTGACCTACGACACCAGTACTCCATGTGGGTGCTTGTTCATGTCCCACACGTGCTTAGATCAGGCTCCTTGTTTATGCGCCAGTACAGAAGATGGGCCCAAGTGCTTGCGCCCCTGCATTCACATGGAAGGTTCAGGATCTTGGCTTTGGTCTGGCCCAACCCTAGCCACTGCGGCCATTCAGAGTTAATCAGCAGATGCAGGACCCCTCTTTCTCTTATCTAGCCTCGTTCTGTCTGTGCCTTTCAAGTCAATCATTAAAAAAAAAAAAAACACCTGGGAGCAGGCACGGCTTGATGGGTAAGGCACTACGGGGGGCATCCTCTACTCAGTGCTGGGATCTAAATCCTGGTTCTTTTCTAATTCCAGCTCCTGTGTATATGCACACAGGTGACGGTGTAGCTGGGGCTCAGCTGCCACAGGGGAGCTCCAGCAGCTGGCTTGGGCATGGCCTAATCCCTGCTGTTCCAGCCATTTGGAGAGTAAAGCGGTGGAGGGAAGATTTCTGTGTGTCT